TCGGAATAGAACTAATGCAGTTCAGTGCCTTGCTTCTTGATGCCGCACCAGACAATATTTCTGAGATGTTAATATACAGTGTATGTCACCAGATGTACTTATGGCGGTGTGATCGTTCAATTGGATTTTTGGCCAATTTTTCTGGTTTAACCAATCAGATAAAGAAATGAGTGAAAAAAGGTATTTGGAAAATAAATCTGACGATTCAGATAAGAACGATTGTGATAGTGGTACGGAGACACCACGTAAAAAAAGTGGTTTGGTTTGTTATGAATTTCGCGCAAAGCTACACGAGGGCTATCTGCGCTAGCCGTCCCTAATTTAGCAGTGTAAGACTAGAGGGAAGGCAGCTAGTCATCACCACCCACCGCCGACTCTTGGGCTACTCTTTTACCAACAAATAGTGGGATTGACCGTCACCTTATAACGCCCCCACGGCTGAAAGGGCGAGCATGTTTGGTGGGATGGGGATTCGATTGCGAGTCGAGCGCCCTAACCACCTGGCCATGCCGGGCCCGTAAAAAAAAAAGTGAACTACGAGCATAAATTTCAAGCGAAGTGGTTACCAGAGGACATATTTTCATCCTTGGGGTATATATATATATAAGTAAGAATACTGAGAATAAAGCATTTTATACTGTTTCTAATAGTGAAATAGCAGGAAGTATAACACTGCTTGAAAGACATAGAAAAACTGAAAACCATTTGAAGAATTTAAATATAAGAAATCGGAATTTTCATTTTCAGTAGGGCTTGACCCCCCCCCCCTTTCCACCCATCATTATACTTGCATTATCACTGGCAAATCCAATCAAATGTTTAATGGGAATGGAATTCAAATCGAATAAATTAATTATTAAATCGTAGATTTTTTGTGCTGTACAATTTTTGACTTCTAATAAACTTAAGAACTGGTCAACTGTTTTCTGAACATTTATATCATAGAAACGAGCTATGAGAATAAGATGCTTAATAGTTGAAAGATCAGTTGATTCATCAATGATCAAGGAGAATTTAGTACTCCTTAAATGAGACACAAGATCAGTAAAACAGGTACCACCCATAACTTTCTGAAAAATACCTGTTGACTTTGTTCTGGCACATTAAATTGCACTTGCAATTTTAGAATCCGGGCATTCATTTGCATCAAATCCAGGTGAATGGTCCATTATAGCAATTGGTAGTTTATGTTCTACAACAAACGCACAGAGCTTCAATTCTGAGGTTGCAACCTGCTTTTCAAAAGTTGATGATACTGACGGTTGAAAAAATGTTGTAATTTTCTTGGATTTGCTTCTAATACATGCACTAAATTTCCAAATTGCATAGAAGAATTAGCAAGGAATATTTATTCCTATATAAAGAATAGCCCCAAAAGATTGTCTGAAGATGCAGAAGTTTACTGAAACTCAATATCATAGATTATTACATCCAAGTTGCACCCGTGGGTTATCATTAGAAGAGGTGGTAAAAATAATTTTGGAACAATGGCCTGCACTTATACTGTACTTCACATCAGCAGCACTTGTAGATGGTATGGCTGTTGCTTCTTCAATATTGCAAGAACTGTATAATCCGATAACAAAAGTATACTTCGCCTGTTTGGCTTTTATTTTACCTGCTGTAAATAAAGTGAATTTGGAACATCAGGCAACATCGTTTAAAATACACAAATTACGCAACTCTATCAACAGTAGCGTTAAGGCTATTCTAAATAGTTTCATTAAAAGAGAAATGGTAAAGAATAAAGATATAAGTAAAATTAATCTCAGTAATCCATTGAACTATCTTAGCCTTGGTGATGTATATCGTGGAGCTAGAACAGAAAGCATTTCTTTGGAATTTTCTTATAAAATTTCAAAAAGAGATCTTGAAGGTTTTCAAGTTAGAAAATTGAACTTTTATGTGACCTTATCAAAAACACATGTTCAAACGCTTTCTATCTTCTGATATGTTCATAAACTTTGAATTATTTAAGCGTTAAATCTTGCAATTGTGAATGAAGAAAAGCCCAATTAATGATATTAGGTACGTTTTATGGTATTTAAATAATTTGGTTCTTTTTGTACTAATTTGGTACTTTTTATTTGTCTGATCTAATACTATTTAAAAACGTTGAGTGGCAATCTTGTGTCGCATTGATAACCAAGTAAGGCGTCGGTAGGCGTTGGAACACTGTCTTGGAAAATCAGAATATAAAACTATGATCTGCATCTTACTGAAACGCCGAAAAATCCCGTGCCTATAAGCCCGAGCTCCGAATCTTTTAATTAAGAACCTAGTGACGTCCCTGATAGCCAGTTTTAAGATTTATTTGTATTTCAATCTTTGCTACTATTAAAATGAACTTTAATTATTCACTAAGCATTACACTTATTAATAAGTGGAACATTAATTTGTAAGAAACAGTTTTGATATTATTTCATTTTAACAGACAAATAGTTAAAATTGCTTTCGGTTTTTATTTGTTTGTTTTTTTTGTTAAGCAGAAAGTTACACAATGGGCTATCTGTGCTGTGCCCACCACGGGTATAGAAACCCAGTTTCTAGTGTTATAAGCCAGCATATTATTTTCGAATTGTCAGTGAGTGTCAATGTTTGACCTCCCCGTTTCCAAATATATTCGCCCCCCAGTAGCACAGCGGGATGCCTGCTGGCTTACAACGCTAGAAACCGGGTTCGTGCTTAATTTCTAAACAAGTATATTCTGTAGAATCTTACTTATTTTGTATTGTAAGATTTTTTTAGCAAGTTATATAATTTTTTCGTTTTTTTCTTCTTTTGTGTAATTAAATTTCATTTCATTATTATAGTTTTATTTCATAAGCTTTATTTTGTTGTCAAAAGTCGAAAAGTAATATTGTGGTATTAACCTTATTATTAACCTCATAAAAATGTAATTTCTGCGTTGAAATAAAGTGACTGAACGCATTGTCAAACAAAGTAAAATAAATTGTTATTTGATATAACAATGATAAATCAAAATTGAAAAAATCACGAAACGTCGAAGAGCACTTCTAGGTAACGAAAGGAGATGTTTGAATATTGAAAGATCCAATATACTTCTGAAGAAGTTTTGGTGAAATTCTATACCAACAGAACTAGCCCCTATATACATTTGAACGAAAATGGTCACCTCTCCCAGAGCGCAACCGTTAACTGCATCTTTTATTATCCCATAATTAAAAGTAAAGAGGACACAGCCTCCTGACGTTTCTGAACTTATGCCCTAAGAGACAGTAAATATTCATTCAAATCTTGGTCTTCAACACCATCCACGAGAAAACTTAGTAATATCAAAGCCGGACACACATTCTCATTATCATACATAATAGGGTCATTATTGTACAATGCAAAAAATGTTATTAATCTCGTACTAAACAACTTAGAATCAAAGCTTATGTTGTATTAAAATAACAAAGACAAGATTTTCTAATTGAATTTATTCAAAATTATAATTTATAATTAAATATATTATCACTTACAAAAACAAAACTTCTTCAACTGTGCATCTGATATACACATAGATTGATTTCCATACATATTAAGTCGACTAACGTCACCTGTCACAGTCAAGTTCTTTGTTTGCTCATTAAACTTTACAGTCCCTTCAAAAACTGCTTTGCTTGGAGAAGCAATAACGGTTATCATGTATTCTGTATTTAGGTTATTTTTCGTTTTGCCTTGGAAAATATACTTGTTCTCACTTGTAGAAACACGAGCATCCAAAATAATTTTAGTTTTCAGTTTTGCACACTTATCCGAATACTCTTTCAACCATTCATTTAGAGTATCGACAAGAATGTTGGCAGCAGAAACAACTACATGGTCTTGTACTGAAATTTTCTGCTGATTTTTACAAACACAACAGTGAGATGGAATGAAAGCATCATTACACGAGCGATTTACTGGGATTTCATCGAACAAACTAATACCTTTTCCAGAAGAAATAGTTTCTCGTAAGGTTCCACTTCTGTTTCCAGTGAACTTCAAAAGATGAACCAGAGTTGCATGGACATCAAGTGGTGTAGTTAGTCGTCTCTCATTAGTCCGCAGATTCTTTGTAATTAGAGGATGTTTCTTCTGAAACCATTCAGGAATTATAATGAAAATAAACGGCATTCTGTCTTCAATGCTACCCATAAACGTCTTTCTTATTTTGCCAAACCGTAAACCATGATCACTGAAAAATATCATTATAGTTTTGTTGAGCATACCATTGTTATGAAGGAACTGAAGAAGCTCATAGGATGGAGTATCAGCAAATCCAGCATAATTTACCACATCGTGAGTGAGACTGGCTGAAAAAGCAAAAGCAAAATACTTTTTATCTTGCATTGTCGAAGTAAACTGTTTAATATAATCGAACAAAAAATCCATTTCCAACTGTGAATGTTTACACTGTTGTTTGTTTTTAGTCACAGCATCAGATTGTACTAAAGCGAGGGAAAAGGGCCTGTAATAATAATCTACAGGAACGTTGAGGAACCCACGTCGTCTGCCACAATGGTATAAGGCAAACTTTGGCAAATCTTCAGCAAGAAGTGTACGGTAACCTCTTGCAGAATACTCTTTCCAAATAAAATCTAAGTGATCAAAAAACATTTTATTTTTATTTTTATTCCAGTAGTGGTTGACAAAGAATCCTGTAAGAAGTGGGGTGAGATTAGGAAAAGTGTTGTCAGCAATTTTATTGTACCCTCTCAGTTCAAAAGGTTTTAAAACTGTTTGAAGATAGGAGTATGTTTTTCTAAAATGACGAATGAAATTTAGTTTAGAAACTGAGTCAATTCCAACCATCATCACATTTAAAGTATCAATGTTTGATAATTTTTCTTCTTTCTCTTTGCATTTTTTTTCTACTCGTTTAATTAGTGGAGTAAGTGGAATGTACTCTTCATGGAAAAGCTGAGTCTCTTTGAAGCACCTTACGATGATAAATTCTTCTTGTAGTGGCATACCAAAAGTAAGGTTTTTGCTAGATCCAAATTTGAACTTATCGTCCGTTCTTTTATTAGGTGGTCCTTGGTCTCGTAAAATTGGCTGATAATTACAGCTAATTTCTGTGTAAGATAAGTTGTAGCTATTTTGAAGTGTTACTTCGTTGACTTCCAGTTGGGCATTGCTTTTAACTTCTAAAAACGAATATTTTTTTTTACAAGCATCCTTTTCCGAGACTAGATGGATCAGTGATCTTATAGATGGATCAAATGGATCCCAATTAGGTATTTGACAGTTTGGTGTGTCAATCAGATAACGTTGTTTAACGTCATATGTTGGAGACTGAAATGGAATTTTATACTTTACTTCCAGCAGAGTTATAATGCTATTCGAGAATTGTAAATAGAAGGCTGTAGCAAAAATTATAAAAACTATTAGCACGAAAATTCTTCTTTTGATTATGTGGGTTACATTTCGAGGGTGCATACTGATTTGTTCACAATATCTTCATTCAGCAATCCTGCAATTTGAGAAAAACTATGTATTACGAAACAAAAATCTTAATTCATATTGACTAAATTCTGGAAGTACTAATGTATGGACAGCATGGACCATATTCACATGATATATATATTTTTTTATTTTTCTGTTGCTCTATATTTGATCATTGTAATAAATAAATGCAACCTGTATCACATATATTTTTTCGTTTTATCTATCTATGTATATATATCTATAACGACTAAACAACAATTAAGTTTAACATCAAAAGGAAAGCGAAGCATCTCCTTTCCTTAGATAATATTTTAAAATGTCTTTCCAAATAACAAATCCAAAAACAAAAAGCAATGTACATAACCAACATCAATATAGTATATTTGTTTGTAGTTACGCGCAAAACTACACAAAGGGCTATATGTGCTGTGCCCGCCACGGATATTTAAATCCATTTTTAGCATTTTTACTGTTATACCACTGTGGGGGGAGGTACACATATGGAATTAGAGTATAAAGTACATTGTAAGAAGGATAAAATGCATTGTACAAAAAAATGGTGTCATCAAAATGTATAATCAACCTACGGGTAGAAATATAATGTTTAGTAACATTAACCTCTTTTTGAAAACTTAACATAAAAAATTAACATTTAAGAAAAGATATGGGTGCTTGATCCCAAACTAACTTACATCTGAAACTTCCATTCACTTTGCGCAGCCAGTTGTGGAAAGAAAGTTTCCCAGTAGGAATGATAAGAAATATGCATCTCCTGAATTTGACATTGCATCCTCACTTCGTATATAAACAAAATATAATAAATTCGATATCTATCTTGAAAATTCCTACTATGAAAATAATGAGAAGTGGAATTTTCTCTCTAAGTTAAAAAAAAAGCAAAAACACACCCAAGGATATAAACTAACTGAAAAACATGCTTATGGATAATTAAATGGTAAAAGATGAACATTTAATGAATTTTGTCTTACTAATCCATCTTTTGTGGCCAAATATATAATTATGCCCGAAACATGTTGTGGAATTACCCATTGTTATCTATGTAACAGTTGTGTACAAGAAAGCCAAGCAAATTCTAAGTTACAGGCAATTGACAAATTATGCCTTTTTTTTCTGCAATAATTCTTGTCAAAATAGGAACGTTAAAAAGAATTAAATAATCATCTTAAAGTTTTCTCTTTTAACAAATGTTATTTTTCATTCTATATATTTCCCCGTCAAACAAAACCGAAGGTAGGCCACGTATTTTTTTTTTTACCCACCATCATGTCCCAAGATCAACAAAAAATTTGCTGTAAAATTCTTTTCAATGCTAAAAGATTAGCCGCCAATTTTGATTTCATTCCTTTAAGTCGCACACTCAATCCTTTTTTGGCCGCATCTTTTTTCACATCTAAGGTGTTCTTGATTAGATCTATAATACAAGATCTATCAACACTTCGCATATTTAAGAAACAACGAAGTATTCTATTGATAACATAACCCGATACTATAGGTCGCAAAGAGCATCCTTCTTTGTGAATTTATGGTAATCCATAAACAATTCCAGGATGACACCATGATTGTTTAATATTCCAATAGAATTTATCATTAAGAACATTATCTTTTGTTAGTTGTTCTAAATATCGTTGTAATTTAGCCACCCTTTGTCAGTAGAATCATATTGCAATTTCACAAACTTAGTAGAGTCATTTACAATTTCTTCTGCTTTCAGTTGTTTCTCAACTAAAGGAAGCTTTAGGAATCCGAATGTCTGTTCATATTCCTAGCTCATATTGTGGGTGGCTCGTCCTTGGCTTGGTAGAGATACCTAGGAAAGACAGTCCATTTGAAGTGTGGCCATAACAGCTGTCATTACAGACTTCTTCCTCTCTTGTGACCAGTTTGTACCTTGTCACAACAGAAAGTACATCTTTAAGGGCTAGAATATCCCTCAGAGCTAAGTGATACCTCATTGCATTGCTTGGAAGTCCTTTGATAAGCCTATCCACAAGGATGTCTTTGTGATCTGCAGAAGCCAACACATAGTTATGTTCTAATGTGCAAATGGCACCGACCATATGCATAAATGGTCAGACTCTCAGTGGAGCTTGAGTTTCCCTGATTCAAATAAATGTATTTCAGTGTTTCAGTTGCACGTCAGTTAGGTGCTCAATGAAGTTTAGAGCTGAACCATCCAAGTTCAGGATCAGGTGTTGAATTGCCTGCTCCTGAGACCAGTCATTCCTTTCATTTACATACCTGAAACAACTGATATATTCTTTCACAACACGTTTGAAAATCGGAGCAAAATCTGCTTAAACTCACTTACACAAACCTGTAGTTGCAACCAAAATCTCTCACTTGAGGGTTCTCGGCCAATAACTGGCTGAAATGGCACTAATGTCATGGATGTGGTGCTGTAAAAATATCCAGGAGCTCTGACCAGTAGTCAGTCCCTTGTTTAGGGTGGCAGTGCGAGGAATTGTTCTCAGTAGTTCCTTCATAACCTCTGCACAACATCAGCTTTCTTCTTGGTCCATGGTCACTCTGGCAAGATACTTCCCAGCCTAGAGAGGTTTTCAGCTGCCCCATAGTCTATGGTCTTTACTAACAGGTGCTTGTTGTTTCAGTTCCTAGCAAAACAGCTTTGATTGGCAGACCTTGTCGACCAGTGGCACTTCCAGCCCTTCTCAGCCAATCTCAGTTGACCATAAAGAGGATTGGGCTATGTTACTCTGGTTGAAAGTGGCTTGTGAATCCCTTAAGAGACCACCCCACATGATGTCATACTTACCAGATGCTAATCCAATTTGAGAACCCTCAATCGCCTATGCTTCCCTTGCATAGAGACACATTTTCAAGGACAATGAACAATTTACCATTCTGGATGCATCAAACATTGGCTGATCTTTCTGAGTCTGAGGCTGCAGAGTGATTGAAGTCATGGATTTTCACAGCATTGGTAAAACTGCGATGTCCAGGCGACAACTTTCTCATATAATAGTGTCTCTTCAGTGACTAAATCGCCCTCTCAGTCATGAATACTTCTATTTGCAGAAAATAATATATTAAATAAGTAATTATTTAGACTCGGTTAAACAAGATTCAAGTTAAGGCAATACACATATTAACAGAAACAAAAACTCTGCAATAATATTCTGTGGTCATGACATCAAAATTTGTCCTTCCTACCTACTCTATAGTACTTTTAGGTACAATAAATTTCCGAAAGAATAATTTGCGTGGGTTCACTATGTAAGATACATTATAAAAAATAATTAGTTCTGTAAAACTGTATAAGTTTGTGCTAAGACATAAGTGGTCGGACGTAAAGTATAATACACAATGAAAAACAATATTCATTTATACAAAACACAAGTCGATGACATCTATGAAATTGGAGTTGTCAATTGATCAGACTTGTTCTACTCCTTCAGAATGTATGTCCAAGCTAATCAACCCTCTCAAGATAATGTTTGACACAAAGTTAATTGAGATCTTATACTGCACTGACTAAATCTCAGGTTACCTAGCTGACTCAGTAATATCAAATTAACCCAAACATTTGGTGCTGCCAACTTGATTGGTCATTCAAATGGAAACGTAAAAGAAAATCATAATCTCGAAATATAGCCTGTCCTACCATTGGAGGATACCGCTTTTTACCTTCATGCACAAAGTGCAGCCTTACATCTATACTTCTCATGGGCAGACAATGTGTTGTCTTCAAGGAAATAAAGGTATACAGAATAAAATAATCTTAACAACTTTCTTGACCACATCTTATGTGAAAATTGTACATACCAAGAAGAAATGGAAAAAAAACTTAAAAATTCTACATTGGAATAGGAAGGTAGAAAATGCATGGTATGCTTGCATACCACACTTTAAGGTTGTCTTCGCTTCAAAAATAAAAAATGTCGGCCAGTTACAGTAAGAAAAATTGTAATCGTTTAAATAACTAATAAGATTATTGGCAGAAGAGAGATTTTTTATGTTCTACACATTGATGATCTTCTGAAAAATAGAAACAATGTAAGATAGATATGTCTTTTAATACAGGAGAATAGCGCAACTTTATGACCCTTAGCTTCTTGTGAGGAAAGACTTCAACTAATGAAATACAGAACATTTGCACAAAAAGTATACATAAAGAAACACCTTCTGAATATAGAAGAATAAGATGTATCCGTTCTAGTTGTGTAATGGTGAAACGTAACAGTTTTTAAGTGTAAAATATTCACATCACATAAAACTAATAAGTTTTTGTATTATTGGAATTACCTAATGCACATTTACTCAATTTGATACCTCACTGACTAAAATGGAGGAAGAATATAACATAATGAGTTTGATAGATCGTAGTTAAGAATATTTAAGCTATAAAATGGTTGTAAAATTATGAGTTCAATTAAGTTGTTGTAATATTCAGGTCCGTTAATGTCTAACAGATTAAATATGAATTATGAATGTAATGGTGGAAGACTGAAATAAATGTTTTACAGAAGAATAAGTCGAACACCAACTAGTGAAATGACAACCATGGAACACAGTTGTATGAATAAAACAACTAGAATAAAATCTTAATTACTTCAAACTAGCAATGATGCTATATTTTATTACTAGTTGCTGGTGGCTTCCGTGTTAAGGATTGGGATTGGCTGTTAAATCTACCAGAGTGGTAGATAAAGACTAACAGAATTTTGTTATAATACGTTTTTAGTCAGGTAAATCTTCACCTAGTGCAATGTCCTACAACTCCAAGTTACCCAACCTTAACCTCAGCAGACTAAGTAATTGCTTAGAGCCTTCGATTCACGGGGATAATTGTTTTATTATTTTCGTTAATTTTTGCTTGTTTTAGTATTGTACTCATTTGACAAAAGTATGTTTTCAATTAAAGAACACATCACTCTGTAATGGGTGGATGTTTACAAATTCCAGTAGCAAGACACTTCTCAGTCAGGCACGTGTGCGGTGTGCTGATTAGTTGATATGTGCAGTCACACACAATA